TCCTTCGGGTTACGACCAACTCGGGATACACCCAGAGTCACGGAACGGATTAAGTTCGTATCCCGAGGTACCACTGTATATGGAAGGAAAAATAAATAGATCACAAGGGAAGACTGAAAAAGCTTAGGTCAGATGGAATTGGTGAGATCTTCAGGGGGAGGTGAGAAGTTTAAAGAATAGAAGACAATGTATGTAATAGCATATCAGTGTGGTGGAAATTAAGATGGTTTGCAAGGATAATCAAGTTTAGGAAACTTATCTTTTCTTATCTAATTCTTTTTTAAAAAATTGTTTACTATTGCTTATTCTTTTTTTGTGGTTGGCTTAGTATACTTATCCTGAAAAGGTATCGTGCATGAAAGTAGCACAATAGTATGTTTGGTTGACAGTGTTTGGGTCACAAGTGCATAATGGCTTCCTTCTACTAATATTGTTCTGATTTCTCTGTGTTGAATATAGTTGATTGAATCATAGAATAGCCATTGGTTTATATGTGAATATTTAAGATATCCTCAGAACATTTTTATTCCAGTGTATTGCTTCCTTAAACGCTGTTTTTGCTCACCCACTTCCCAGAATCTTGACATTTCTGAATTTGCATCCGCATCTAAAATTATTTGCATATATTAGGGAGACCTGTACCACAACTTGAACTTTATCTGTTTGTTTTCACAGCTATTGCTGGAAAAAAAGATTTTTTTTTAAATTGGTTTACTTCTCTGGCAGTGCAGTCTACTTTGAATACAGTACTGCAAATTAAGCTGTATAAATATTTCATTTACTTGGATCCTGAGTTTAAGAATTATTCTTAAAGTTTTTTCTTTTCTACTTATCCCAGTAAGTTTCTGGTACCTCTGGTATAGCTTTTGCTTTCCTTTTCTCTTTTTCTCTTATTTATTGCCAGTTAGGTTTTCTAAAACGATAAATACGTCTGTAAGTGAAAAGAAGTTCTGCTATCTATGAGTTTTTAAGATTTGTGCACATACTCCAGAGAACTGCTCAATTTTACAAAGGAAATTGCTATTTTTTGCTTCTTTTCTCCATCTCAAGGTTTTTCCATATCAAGGCCAACATGCTGTGCTTCCCCCACCCCCCCAAAAAGACCCAGAACAGCAGCTCCAATTTGATAGCTTCCAAGTATGTTGGACTACCATTCCCGTGAGCTCTAGCCAATGTGGCCTTGGGATCAGGTTGAAAAAAAAGCACAGTATAACATCCTCTTCTAGATTGCTGGCCAGCATGTAAAGATGGTGATCTCTGTGTACAACGTGAGGGTCCTCAACGTAGTGCCTTTCCCAAAAATTGAAAATAGCATTTAAAATGGTCAAAATCTGATGGAAGTCTCTGGGGTAGGATTATGGTAATCTTGCAATCTTTGGTCATTTCCTGAATTTTCAGTCATGTAAAAATAACGGTAATGTTCAGTGCCTCATAAAGTTGCCAACTCCTGGTATAATGCGCAGATGTGGGAGAAAGGAAGTGTGGTGATATCAGAATGTTAATGAAGCTTTTTGATGTGTTTTTGTAACAGGGGATGAAAATCTTCTTCCTTGTGGTGGCAACAGTATACACTTTGTACCTTTTCTTTCTGATAATCAGGGCATGCTCAGAGCTTCGGAATATGCCCTATGTTGGTAAGCTGCATTCTTCCTCTATGGTTTCTGATGTGATGTTGTTCTTCCAGAGAGATACTTGTGTCACTTTTCAAATAACTCTTTGCTCTCCTTTTCTCAGATCTCAGGTTGAAATTCTTGACTGCGCTGACATTTGTAGTACTTGTCATTAGGTGAGGTATTATTCTCTTGAAGATATTATTCAATTATCAATTCATATTATTCAATTATTTTGTCAGTGGACAAAATGCTCCATTTGGGGGCTGGACCACATTTGAGACAACACAAATTCCTTCCTGTTTTGGACAGTATACTTCTCTAAAGCAACCCAACCCCACCCCATCCTCCGCCCCTAGAATGGCTGGATCAACGTAGTCTGGAAGGAAAATGGAATTTCTGACATTTACCAGAATAGTACTTTTTGCCTATCCCTATATTCTGTGTGAAATATGGAATATGTTGTTCAAGATATTAGATGGACTTCATTGGATCATTCTCCCTTTTCTGACATAAGCAGACACTAGATCATGCATCTTGGCAATATTTTCTTTTTAAATGGTGGTATTGGTGGTGAAATTAGGAAACTCAATGAACAGAATTAAAAGAATCTGTCTAGACATTTTTGCTTTGTAAATTTTAGACCACAGCAGTCAACCATATGATTTTAGTTTTTTTGTAAGAAACCCTACAAGATCGAAGGCAACCTTTTTTTCCCATAGTTCCCTTCCACTATGTTTCCTTCCTACATAACTTATTCCTACCATTAAATCTTTTGTTCCTTTATTTAGCCTCTTGTATTAATGTTGGGGACACAAGTTTATGATTGGCACATTTGCAGCTTTCTACAATTTACTTAGGAAATAGTGTCATATTAATTTTAAATACTGAATTTTATTTAGTTGAGCTTAGAATTGAAAAGGGATTTTAAAATGTAGAATAAGCTTTGATTTCTTTTCTTTCCTTCTTGCAGCATTGCTATATTTTATCTGCGTTTTGGAGCACGGGTTCTCCAGGACAATTTTGTGGCTGAGATTTCAACCCATTATCATAATTATATCCTTTGATTATGACATCTTGCTAAAAATTTCAGTCAAATGGGTTTTTTTTTTTTTGGTCTGCGCTCAGTCATTACTGACCCTGCAGTAAATGCTTGGATGAGTCCTTGCAGTTTTCAAGGCAATTGTTTCGGAAGTGGTTTGCCAGAGCCT